TCCTGATTTTTTACGTCGTATATTAACAGATTATTATGGTTTTGAGGGTCATCCGTTACGAAAAGACTTTCCCTTAAGTGGATATGTGGAAGTACGATACGATGATTCAGAGAAACGTGTGATTTCTGAGCCTATTGAAATGACTCAAGAATTTTGTTATTTTGATTTTTCGAGTCCTTGGGTCCCTGGAGATGGATAGAACTAATCAAAAAAAAAATGTAATTCCGGGTGCGAAGAGAGCATGAAATTTATGAACAAATTTGCTGGAGCGGAACTATCTACTTTATTAGAACAAGAACGGACTACTTTCTTGACTTTAATTAACAGCAAAATAACAACAATTATGTTTGAATTTCAATGTTGTTATTTGTTTCTTTGATGGCTGGAAGTTCTTCAAAGGTATGAAAAGCTGCAGGACTTTGTACCATCCATTCATGACAAGTATAGGTGAATTGAATCCAAGGCGCTTGCAGAGCACGCACTTCACTGGTTAAAGTGAGATAAACAACCACAAAAAAAAACTAAAATTCCTACAACAGAAAGATGGAAGGATGACTGCCAATGGAGGTCAGACGAGCAGTGTAGTGGAGCATGCTATTAGAGCTGAGTGTACTGGTTGCTCCAACTTGTTGCATGAAAAAAAAAAAAAAAAAAAAAAAAAGAGGCGTGCATGCTTGCTTGCACATGGGAAGTTGGAAGGCTTGCTTGCCAGTGAAGTCTGATTCATTGCTGATTGTGTGCACTTTTATTTCCTTGTATGCAATGCTGTACGCTGGAGGTGCAGGTATCTCTCACACTGTGTGCGCATGTATGTGTGACTTTCATGTGGTGTTTCCGTTTGTGTTGGTATTGTACTGTCTGTGTGTGTGTGTGTGTGTGTGTGTGTGTGTGTGTGTGTGTGTGTGTGTGTGTGTGTCTGTGTGTTTGTGTGTGTGCGTGTGTGTGTGTGTGTGTGCGTTTGTGTGTTGTCATGCTCGCTGTACACAAGTCCACAAAAAAGAAAAAAAGAAAAGCATGAGTGTGCCAGACTGTTTCATCGGACTTTCATTGACTCATCAGGAGGTTGCACCCCGACAGTCTGCCCAGGATGCACTTGATCGATGGATAAAAGGACTCACCATGGCGAATGGAGTTAGCGATACTCCTAAGAAAAGTGGTCCTACTTTACTCACACCAATCCTGTGTGTCTGTGCTTTTTATTTTTTATTTTGTGTGTGTGTGTGTG